GAAGATGGGCATGGATGTTAGCCCAGGGCCAGTCTTCCTCAGCAAAAAGAGGAGGATTGGCAACAGATGTTAGCTCAGGGCTAATCTTCCTCACATATACACACACAAAAAAAACACTAAATGATTTTAGGCAAACTCTCGGTAGAAAACATTTGTAAACATATGTAGATTCAGCTTTAGCATAATATAGCTGATTTTTGGCTAAGAAAAATGCCTCTATTTAAATGTATTATAGTTTTAAACAGATAACTCCTATGTACAACAAAATTGCCCCTCATTGCCCATGACACATTTTATTAACTTTCTTCCTAATGTGTACTTTTTATCCAGTTTTCTGAAGCTGAGTTGTTGAGCCTATTCTGCAAAAATCTTACAGAAATATTTTGATGGTAATAATTTACAATAGTTAAGATTACTTCTGAGTTACACCACCTCTGTGTGGTGATGCTGGCACGGAAGATTGATGTGTAGTGCTTGACTGCCAAGCTTAGCCGAAGTGACAGGCTGACGCTTATATTTGTACAAATTGCCGTCGTTACCAAGAACCCTGCAGAAGTGGTGAGCTACTGGCTCTATACTGTAGGTGGGCTCCAGGGTAAGTAGCCAGGCAATTGTGCAGCCAAAAGTAATCCTTTTGTCCTTTTTTAAAATTTGGACTTTCCAAAATTTATTCCATGGTTACCTTCGAATAAATTTAACCTAATGAGTATAGAAACATGATTGTGATCTCATATCCCCCCAAAACTGAATAGTATCTCTTGAAATTTTATTTGACCATCAGATAAAGTGCCCCCCAGTCATTCTGTGAATATGCATGGAATTAAGTTGACTTGTTTTGACCTCAGTATTTTGGAGACCTTAAGAAGCATTTCCCTCCTCCCCATCAACAAAACAAAACAAAAACAAAAATGTAGAGGGAGTAATTAAAATTTGATGGTTATAAAAGGAAAGTAATGGAACCCAATGATTTGCTTTCTATGTTAGGTAAATTTCTTTTCTTGTGTAAGTCTTTTGGGGGGAGAAGGGAGAATTGCCAATCCTATCGAGATGTTTTTGAAACAAGGTATGGTAAAAAAGAATGAAAGTATGAAGGATTTCATTTTTACAAAATTACCCCCTGTCTGAGACATCTGTATTTTTTGTTTCTTCTTCCAATCTTTTTTTCTTTTTAAATAGTGGTGTGTAGATATACTGATATTTACAAAACTGTCTTAATACAGGAGCATTGGGTTCCATTCATTTTTGAATGACATTTAGAACTTATATTGGTTGTTCTGTTTTAAACCAGTACATTCAATTCAGAAAATATTGCTGATAATCTACATTGTTCTGTGTACTCTGTTAAGCCATAGAAGATATAGAAATAATAATCCCTGTCCTCAGAAAGCTTATGATCTAGTGGATATGTGGTGGTGGTGGTGGTAGTAGCATACACAAATTACCATAATACGACATAAAGTAATTGCCACAGTAAGAATTCCTTGCACGAGAGGGAGGGCAAGTAGACCTGTTTGACATGGGTCTTCAAAGACGAGTAGATTGGTTTGGAATGCCTTTTGCTGATTTTTGCTTATTGGCTAGAGTTTAGATGTTTTGTAAGGGAACAATGGCAAGTAAAGCTGAAGGGAGGCTAGGTGATGAGTTTGTGCCTGATTGGGTGGATAATATAGCACAGTGACTAAGAGCACTCACTTTAGATCAATTAGACATTGAGTCTCAGCTCATTTTTGTTGTGTGACCTTAATAGGTTGCTTAACCTATCAAAGCTTGGTTTCCTCATTTGATAAATTGAGACAGCACCCCTATAACTTGCTATATAATGCTGTGTGAAAGAGAAGAGATAATGTGCAGAAGAAAGAAATAATGTGTGGAAGGTGCTTAACACAGCTCTCAAAATATAACAAGTGCTCAAGTAGCTACTCTGGACAATAAGAAGCAATGAAGATTTTTGAACCATGGAGTGGTGAGATCTGAACCATGTAAGGCTTTTACTTTTATTTTTATAATTGACATAAAAAAGACTGCATGCATTTAAAGTGTACACTCTGACATAATATACATACACCTATGAAATCATCACCACAATCCAAATAATGACCACATCCATCAATCCCGAAAGTTTTGTCTAAGACAATTAAAGAGAGAAGTCTGGCCTGTAATGCGCAACAAAGAGTAGAGTGAGGTAGGGTCTGGAAGTGGAGAAATCAGTTAAGAGGCTATGGCCGTGGTGCAGGTGAGAGAGAAAGAATGGATGAGGTCATGAACTAGGTGTGGCGGCAGTTGGCCCTCCCCAAGAGACTAGACTGCTGGGAGACAGAGTTAGGCCTGCATCATTATAGTCATGTGCCGCATAATGACGTTTCAGTCAGCAACGGACCGCATATACGACGGTGGTCCCACAAGATTAGTACCATGTAGCCTCGGTGTGTACTAGGCTATACCATCTAGGTTTATGTAGGTACCCTAAGGGAGGAAGAAATTTCTCTTTACCCTTCTAGGTTCTTCTGACTGGTCTAAGAATTAAATTGACCTGAGACAGATTAACAGGAGACAAACAAAAGTTTAATAACATGTATACCTAGGTGGAACCCAGGAAAACTGAGTAACTCACCAAAATGGCTGAAACCCTCACCTCAAATACCATCCTCAGCTAAAGACAAAAGAAGGTGTTGGGAGTAGGGAGAGTCAGGGACTTCAAGGGGAAGGAAGACAATTCACAGGTAGGAGAAAAGGAGCAAACATTTGGAACACAACTGTTTGGCCACACAGAAACAGAAGAACACAGAGGGGAGCCCAGCAAACAGGCTTTTCTAGGTTCCTCCCTGTCTACCACCTAGTTCATGTTATGCTAAGGTGATAGCTCCCTTCCTAAGACAGGTTTTTTAATCTGAATTCTTTTAGGCAGTTAAGGAGGAGGTAACAAGAAAAACTTTCAAGTCTTTTGTTTCTTAAAAATAATTAGCCTAAAATAATCCTCATGTTAAAGAGGTGGCAAATTTTGTTCCTCTTCAGTACACTCTATGATGTTCATACAACCACAACATCGCCTATGACGCAATTCTCAGAACAAGTCCTTGTTGTTACACGATGCATGACTGTATATTCTCTCCAGCACCTAACGCAGTGGCCAGAGGTTGGGGGCTCGTACATGCTGAATTGGCAGGTTTTCCCTTTATGAAAGATCGCTTATTTTAACTTGTTTCCTCCTTTATTCTGTTTAGGGCTTAAGAGACAACCTTCTTGTTTCTGGGACATCCAGCCTGACAGCCACCAAACAGTTGCTTCGTCCAAGAATCACAAGGATCTGCCTTAGAGACTTGATATTCTGCATGGAACAGGAAAGAGAGATGAAGTACTCTCGAGCTCTGTACCTTGCCCTTCTGAAGTGACCACTCCACTCTCCATCCAGATCCTTGCTATTTACTGCCAAAGAAGACATAAAGAGCATTGTTGCACTGTCTTGAAATTTCAGTTTCTGGAAAATAATCACCAATAGGGAAGACCATTGTTTACAGTTATAAACTTTTATTAAATCTTACTTATACATCCCATGGGGTTCTTAATGACTAGAATTCAGCTTTGTCTTCTGAAACTTGGTTGTGAAATACAGTTGACACAGAGGTAGGCATTGCCTACCTGTGCATTTAATTACGGCCAGTTAAGGCCCTATTTGTTACTACCTGCTTCATTTGCCAAACTGTGAACAGGTGAGGTGTCTTCCCCTAATACAGCCTGCACTGAGATGCAGGGGAAAGAAAGGAAGGGTCACTACTTACCAAGGAAACTATATTTCATCCAATGCTAAACCAGTCTCAAAGTGTTAGGTTTTCTGGGCTGGAATCAGAAGTTGCTTAGCTCATTATGACAGTTGCCTTCTGTAGTTGAAGCTAACAAGCCACAGAGGAGGGCCTGTGGTGACTTTGGTCGGCTGAGTCCCAGTGTTGTCAAATCTGAGACAAACGGGGATAGTTCGTGCTTGAGGTCACTATTCTCTGGTTCATATGACCATATATATGCTGCTTCTGATACCAAGAGAGGGGACTTCCTTGTCAGGGAAACCTTCAAATTGAAGCTGCTGATATACCTCATTGAAAAATGGAAGAGGAAGAAAGTATTGAAGGAAGGCTGGGGCATTGCATTCAAACTGATGAGGGGAAAGTGAAAATGAAATCACAAAACAGGAAATGTGCTGCATCTGCCTAAGGGGGGCAGTGGTGGAATTGGAGCTCCACAGCCACTGGTACATGTTTTGTTGAGAGGAAAAAGATCACAGCCCAACCAAAAAGGAAAATGGCTCAAACATTTCCAAATTACATTATTTCAAAAGGAAGAAGTTATTTTTTGTTTTGCGTATTGTTTTAAAAATCAAGGATAGTTTTGTAATATCTTTTAGTTACCCTAAGTTTTAAGCATCTTGTTGCATTTAAAAAATCCTAGTTGATGATTAGAAATTTTTAACTGTAGGATTCCGTTTTGGATTCTGTTCTCAAAAGGTAATGTCAGCATCTCACTCTTGGAGATCTTGGCTCTAAATGTATTATGAGAAGCAGGTTATATATTCCTCTGAGGAGGAAGCTGATGTTTTGCAAAGCAAACTCTCTTTTTTTTTTTTAATTCCACCTTTGTGGCACATAGCTGGTGAAAAATAATAGCTGTAGTTAGACTCAACATTCAGAAGGAATGAGTAAATCCTCCAAGAAGGTTTAATAAAAGAAAATGGGAAAGCTGTGCTTCTTAGAAAAAGAATTCAGGGGGGAAAAAACACCTCACCATGTTACTCTTCATCCTGTTCTTCCCATTGGGACTGTTATGGCCATATTCTGTACTGTAGTAAGTTTTAAATTGGCCACATTTTTTGTTTCAGCAAGTTATTATGTAAAATGCTATAAATTATGTATATGTTAAGAGTACTTTAAGACGAGATCTATACCTAAAGTTGTTTTTGTATATTTAAATGCTTAGCTTTATTTTTTTGTAAAGTGCAGCATACTCCCATATTTGTGTATAATCTTACTGATCAGATGTTTAAAATTATTTCAAATACTTCATTAAAATAATTATTTTATTAGAAGAATAACTTTGCTCAGTCACTGACTTTGAAAACCGGTATCTTTAGTCAGCCCCTGAAGCAGGGGGCTGGGCAGTGGATCATATGTCCTGGGCGGTGGATCTTTCTTGGCTCTGATTGTTACTACTTTGCAGTGTCAGCATTTGGGTTCCAGAACCTTACTTCAGATCCAAGTTAATATATCACTTTCTTTGAAATCATTATAAATTTACATGCTATTTGACTTACAAAGAACGCTTAGCATATTTATTACAAACACTTTTCTTGGCCATCAAGGTTTTCTTACTAAGGTATTCTTTTTCAAAATTTATTTTTAATATATATTTTTAAGCTTTGTGTTGTGAAGTATATCTTACACACAAAAGAACAAATACAGTGTATCCAATGTTTTCTTCTGCTCAGTTTGCAAAATGGTGGCCTTGCAGTAGATTTGATCTATAAATGCATTCTCTGTGACTCACACAGTGCTGCCGATGTTTTAACTCACAAAAATCTGTATTTCCACTTCTTTCAAAATATTAGAAGATCTGGAATCACTAGGTATACTCTTTTGTGTGACAGTCCACTGGAGCCAACCAGCGGCTGTCCACTTTAGATTTGGGGGCGAAAGTTTACCTTCCCTGTCTGATCCCTTTAAGCACTGAAGTTTGTGACCCTCTGCCTTCAATATTTGTCTTGGATGATGAACAGTAAAAGGGGAAAATACCAGAATTCTCCATCTGTTTACTTATTTTTTTTAGGAACTTTATTGAGGCATATTTTACACATAAAATTCACCCATTTCATCCATTTGCTTTTAATATGACTGATTGACCTTTTAAACTGTTTCCTCCTTAATAGCTTTAAGATTTTTCTCCTCTTCTTAAAAAGAAACAAAGTTTAACATTCTTTTAAAGCTTGTATTTCTTAAAACCTGCATTTGAGATAAATTTTGTTTCATTAGAATTTTGGCAAAAGTTTATTTAGAATTAAGACCATTTATATTAGTTCTATGTCATGGTTGAAGAAAAGAACACAAACAATATTAGGACATATTCTTTAGAAAAGTATGGAACCAAGATCTCAGGCTGATTAAGTTGGACTTTATGCCTAGTTGTACAGTGAACCAACTAAGTGTTTATAAAACTTTGATCTCAATAAGACTCAGTGATTCTGCAGGAAATACAAGTATAATGTGTCATGTATTTATACATGACCTGGTAGCCAATCTGTATTTTGTCATTTTTAGCATTATTATCTTTTCAGACACTTTTATATGCCTCGCTGCACTGATAGGACTTTTTTTTGTTCGCGTAGGCATAATTTACATCTGATATAAATATCTTTTCTCTGACTTTTTAACCACCTCTTAGTATTTTCATATGCATTTCAGTTGTGTTGCGTTGGTGCATTTGCTTTTTCACTGAAGTTGTTTCACCAGTTGGAAATTGGTCCTCAGTAGAATGTAGCATATTGTATTTTTCTTGTGGGAAACATTGAGAGACTGCTGTGCAAACAAGAAACCTGAAGTGTTCGCCACCATATTCTTGAACATTGAATGATTAGGTGAGAGGAACAGATATATAACACAATAGGTTTAGAATTTGTGTAGGCCTTGCACATAGAATATTTGTGGGAAGAAAATACTCCCAAGGAACTCATTTTAAGACCTTTGACTTTGTTGGTAAACCATGATGAGAGCAATTTTAATGACAATTCTTCTCCTTAGTATTGCCAGGTTGACGGCTTCCTAAGTTTTCTTATTGTAGGCTGTATTGAGGCAGTATTGCCCTGGCTGTGCATTTCAGTCCTGCCTCTTACAAGTTGTGTGACCTTGGACAAGTTATTTAACTTCTCTGTGCCTTTGTTTGCTCATCTGTAAATAATAGTACTTACCAGTGAGGTAATTGTGAGAATTTAATGAATTTTCTTATGTAAAGCCCTTAGAACAGTATATCCCATATAGTAAACACTGTATATGTCAGTAATGGTGATGGTTATGGTTGTACCCATTCTGAATGGCATAGCTCTATCTACTGCCCACCTCCACCGCCGTATTGTATTGATGAAAGTCACTGGTTGAATGCATGAACCTAGTGTCTTATTTAAATATAATAATCTTAAGATCATAGAAAATTCTTATGTATTGCACTGGGGATTGGAGGATGGGAGGCTAGAAGGAGAAAGGTATGATACTATAGTGGAGCCATTAAACAGTAATTCTGTGTCATAGCTTTGCCTAATTCATTTCTTATAGGGTTGGAAGCAATAACGAAGCCATGCCATCATTTCTAAATTTTTAATTGAAAATATTATAGGTAGATATGGTGAGCATTCAAACCATATAAAAGAGTATACCAAAGTAATTCTTACTCCCAGACCTCCCTAGGTCCCATGCTCCCCTCTCTAGATTCACCCACTCTTACCAGTTTCATATATTCTTTCCAGACATAGTCTATATACATATAAGCACATAGTTGTGTATTCCCTTTTTATTTGCATATGGCAGCATGCCAATCTATCTGTTGCCTTTTTCACAATCTCATATTCTTAATTCAATTTATACTATGTTGCAGGCCAGGAGTCCTAGTAGAATCTTGCTGTAATCTTTGGGACAATAATGAATTTTTCCTTGAGGGATTTAATTACAAGTTTTCTTACTATTTTGTCAATTTTACTATTTCGCTAGAAGAATACGGTCACATCTAAATGTGTCAACAGCGTTCCTCTACCAGAGAGGCATCGTGAAAAGCAACAAGGGGAGTGGAGGTTTTCCTGGGGTGGGTGGGGAGGGGGTGGAGAGGAAAAGGCATTTAAGAGGAGAGGTGAGTGTTCAGTAGTAATTATAAAGTCTCACTGACAGCACCCTCCCACCATGAGCGCTAGTACTGGAAACCACCCTGAATTTAGGATCACTCCTAAGCTATCATTCAAGCTATTTTCTGTAAGATTTATATTCTTCATTAAAAAGTAATGAATAGATCAGAATAGGGATGACCTAAATTTGAGGTTCTTGGGAGTGATCCCTGATAGGATACCAGATGCCCAAAATACTCAGTTGGTAAACTTATAAAAATTTTCCGTTATGTGAGGCACTATGGGGAACAAAGATGTATAAGACTCAGTCCATGTCCTGGAGGGGCTCTCTAGTCAGAGAGATGGAATATGTACATAGATAATAATGCAAAGTAACATATATTCCTTTGCAAGGAGTGGTGTAAATAGTAGGTTCTCATAGGTGTCTTTGGGACAAAGATAGTACTTTCCAATGGAACAATCGTGTTTAATCTCTCACAGAAGAAATAAAATTTGAGGGGCCGGCCCCACGGCGTAATGGTTAAGTGCGCATGCTCTGCTGCTGGCAGCCTGGGTTCGGATCCCGGGTGCGCACTGACGCACCGCTTGTCAGGCCATGCTGTGGTGGCGTCCCATATAAAGTGAGGAAGATGGGCACGGATGTTAGCCCAGGGCCAGTCTTCTCAGCAAAAAGAGGAGGATTGGCATGGATGTTTGCTCAGGGCTGATCTTCCTCACAAAAAAAAAAAGAAAAGAAATGAAATTTGATCCGAGCAATGAAAAGAATGGATAAGATCTTTTAAATCGTGTATTCTAAGGCCTTCTAAGGGAAAAGGTTGAAAAGCAAAAAAGGATAAAGTACTTTTAGGGAAGTAAATGTCTAATTTGGCTGATTATGAAAGTCATGTAGGGGAGAAATGGAAGATAATTTTGGAAATGTAAGATGGGGGCACTTTATATATGTACACTGTCCAAAATTTCAATTTGTTGTACTTAGGGGTGAAATGAAAGTACCCTTTTTTTGTCTCGTCATTACTTACACTAGCCCTCTACACGATAAGGTGATGTGGAAGAAGAATTACAATAATTGTATGTAAACTGTTTAGCAGATTCAAAGCTGGTTTAGAAATGTTACCCATGAGGTTTAGGTTATAGGACTAATAACTTTTCCTGTTTGTAATTTAAATGGAGGCTTCGCCTGAAGATGAGGGGATGGTTGGATTTGCTGGTTGGCTTCTTGAAATCTTATGTCTTAGGCTTCCGTTTCCCTAAATAGAAGTGTGAAGTTGTTGTGCTGGGTGGTCTCCAAGGAACCTTTAAACTTTCAGATGGTGATATGAATATCTCACTGGATGTTTCTTAGCAATGTTAATTCCTATAAAAGTAGACAGTGGTTGCCTCTAATGCTGAGGAAAGCAAGACAATTGAATAAATGGTGCATTGTATCTTTTCCATGCCTTCTGCTATTATCAAAAAGTGTAATTTGTGTGTAGTGCTGGGCCAGACCCCAATCAAAGAATAATACAAGCCTCATTATTGATCTATATTGATCTGTACTAGTTTCCTAGGGCTGCCATAACAAATTGCCACAAACTGGGCAGCTTCAAGAACAGAAAAGTATTCTCTCAGACTTCTGGAGGCCAGAATTCCGAAATCAAAGTATCAGTAGGGCTAACACTCCATAGGCTGTAGGGGTGAACCTTCCTTGCCTTTCCAGCTTCTGGTGGCTTTTGACGTTCCTTGGCTGTGGCAGTGGAACTCCAAAGTCTGCTTCCATCTTCACATGGTCTTCTCTGTGTCTTCTGTGTCCTCTCCTCTTCTTATAAGGACGCCACACATTATTAGGTTTAGAGCCCACTCTAATCCAGTATAATCGCATCTTGGCCCTTAACTAACATATGCAAAGACCCTATTTCCAAATAAGATCACATTCTCAGGTTCCAGGTGGACATGAATTTGTGGGGGCACTATTCAACCCACTGCAGGAGAATACTGTATATGATTATATATTCCTGATACTTTATTTTGTATCTCTGACTTCAATAATGGTGAAAAACTTAATGGTTGTTAAAAATGTGAAGGGGTTGATTTTGTGTCTTCTTACACTGGAAACTTAGAATCTTGAGGTCTAACAAGATGCCTGTCCTTACCTTCTCCCCACCTCTTCCACTTCAGGCAAGGCTCAGAAATTCCTAGTAGGTGGCTCTGTTCTCAGAAATGCATCTTTGATG